CAAAAACCACGAATTCTCGATCCCGCAAATGCTTATCAATAATCTTGGATGCTTTTTTTGGATCATCTGTATATTGATGTATGATTCTACTAATATCGTCTCTACTACCCGATTCCCGAAATAGGCATAAATGTGAGATATTTTCACGAATAATTTTAGGTGTTTGTGTATATTTCTGACTCACATATATAGGTGAGACATTTTGATGTCGACTACTAATGAAATAAGGAATAATTCGTTCTTGTACTTTTTTCGATTCAGCATATAGATCCTCAAATACAACAACTGTACTTCACTCTGGTAAGAATTTGGTTATATCTGGAATTTTATCTGGAGATATCCTTTTAAATGTGATATCCTCTCAATATGGTTTAGGTGCATTCACAAAAATCTTAAAGCTATTTTGTACAAGTTGCCATTTCGGCTCAAAATGCTTGCCTATTAATACGAGATCATCGTTTTTGATATAACAATTTCCTTTCTTACCTTTAAACATGCGTTGTAGTTTGTTACCAAGCATGAGATTTATAACTATGTTAGTTTTTTCACTATTGGATCCGCCACATACCAGTAATTTGAATGGGGCATCTGGACTAAATTTGTTGCCTTTCATTCGCTCTGAGGATTTTTTAGATGTCTCGTCGATATTGTATACAAATATAGGCATGCCTTTCTCTTTTATCTTATTCAAGCTAAGTAATTTTTATTATATCAAAAATATATATCCTATGTTTATTATTCTGATAAATTATCCATATCTGACTCATCATTTGAATCCGAATACCAACCAATAATATTAAGAGTAGGAATTTTATTCTGCAAGGATATGATTGCATTTACGCTGATTTTCTCGCATTTCTCAATATCAAGCTTCTGGAGATTGCGTAAATTTGCTAATGTGGACATAGATACATCAGTAATATTGCAACCTTCAAGATAAAGCTGTTCAAGTTTTGGGCACAATCGCGCTAATGCACAAATGGATTCATCGGATACAAGGCACCAACTAAAGTTAAGATATTTAAGATTTGGGTTGGATTGCGCAATTTTTTTA